TGTGGCGTCGAGAGTCTCGAGAGTACGTGGAGTTCCGAGAACGAAGAAGGAGAGTCGAAAGCTGTACTCTGGTGCTTTGCAGTGAAGCTGTCTCCACCGTGATAGCCTGATAACCTGATGGCTGTGTCGCTGATCGTGTCAGCGTGTTTATAGTAGTTCATCGACGACTGTAAAACGTGTTTTGGAGCTGTCCTGACAATCCTGGCTAGTAAAGTGTGTTTCGATACTTCATCAAGTGTCGTCGTTATTCACTCCAAATCCACACGAACCCCATACGAACGTGAAGGAAGAAAATAACGTAATAACTGGTGTCAGAGAAGAGAAAAACGTAACAATATTAATAATCCTTCTTTCTTTATATTAATAATTCTTCTTTGGACTCGAACAGATATGTAATAACAATAAAACATTTTAAATTCTGGACATCTATTTTTGTAAAGTGTTCTTTCCAGTTCGCTTACTTGTTCGAAAAAAAGCCAACTTTAAGGGAAAATGTGCTTTTTACGATGAAAATAAAATTTAGCATAAATCAATAAATTCAACACTTTTAATAATTCTGACTGCCGATTTGGGTTTATTTAATGAATTTCTCCATAAAAATGTTTATAAAAATATGCTTATTTTTTGTCATAATATGATGGAAAAAAGGAACTGGTAAGTGTTTTTAAGCATCATTTCCTTCACACTTATGCCATGTACAATTCAACAGCAAAATTACAAAAATTTTAAAAGCAGCATAACAGCATATGTTTAGAATTTCCAATGTAGTGTTAAATGTTGACTTACATTTTTTTTTTTTTTTTTTTTTTCAGTCTTTTTTCAATTCATCATATCAATGCTCACTTTTCTTCTTTCTTTTTCTTAATAGTAAGGATTCGTGTGTTCACTTCCGGAAAAAGATAATTTTTAGCAAAAGAAATTCAGTTCTTTCTGAAATCATTACATGGCGCCTTAATTAATTCTAGACTATTCTACAGTTTCATTCGTTTTTAATAAAATTTTGCAAATTCAGCTTAAATTAAATTAGAAGAACATTCACTGACTAACTGGAATTTCAAAAAATAACTACATCTCCCTAAACGAAACCTCTTCACTCTGCCCAAAGCCCGGCAACGTCGGATATTTCATATAGTGATAAATAACATTTATATTTAATTTAAGATGGGTAATTATTTAATATAGATTAGTTAACTATAAAGTCTTAACTGTGGAGTCGAAATTCTATTTCTTACAAAATTCATAATGCTTTAATGTTTTAAACGCGTAACTCATACCTTTATGTATCAAATTCGTATAGAGAAATATAGTAGTGTACAGAATGCTAACAGTAATTTTTACGCTCGGGGTATAAGTTTAATAACTAACATTATTTTACTCAATACAGAAAAATTATTTCCCGAAATGAACAAATGTGTTTCGTAGTTGCATCCTAAATCTAGTCGAAAGATATCGCTAATAACAATAAAATGTGAACTAAATCGTTAAATTCCTCGCAGATACTTTCGGGCGTATTAGAAGATAAATTACGGATTTTTTAGCAGCAAGAGAACGTTAGACCCAAAGGGCTGTTAGTGTCTAAACGACATTTTGCGTCGCTTCATTTTCTGCGTTAGTTCAATTTTCAAACTGTTAATACCAAATATTATTGGTATATATTTAATTTAAAGAAACTAAAAAATGAAGATTTTGCATGAATGTTGCTCGCATTGTGAAAAAACAACGGTACCTAGAGACATCAAATTTTGAATAACGTATTCCTCTAATCGAACATGGGCGCTTGGAAACCCGAATTTTTAATTTGTTTTATTATCTTATCTATTTCAAATTTTGTAAAACTTTAGCTAATTTTGTATTAAGAAATTCAACGATTTCAAAGCGAGAAATGGTAACACTGTACGGAAAAACAGTTTTTATCTCCAGCGGACCATCGGAAATTCTAAAGATATGCTGTTTTTAAATATTTTATGATATTGCTGTTGAATTGAATTGTATGTGATTTGAATTGAATTTTATGTGATTTAATTCGAAGTGCGAAGAATATGATATTTAATAAATAAAGGTAACACACAAAACGTTAAAAAAACGCCCTTTTGGGTGTAATATAAAATCTGAAAGCTTTCATTCCCCTCCCCCATTTAACTTATTTAACTCAGTATTTTTCTTTGGATTCGTTTCTTAACTGAGTACGGCACAGCATGGAAAGACTATATGCGTAAGGAGAGGAGTATCTCTGAGGAAAACTTTCTACGCAAAAGTGGTTTATATATATACTCGTAGAAAACGCGTTAAGTAGCCAGCCGATTTAAACCGGGTGTACCATGTTTTTAATTAAACCTGGGTACTGTAATTACTAGCTGAACAGATTTATGTAAGTCGCAGTCGCCGGGGATAATGCTTTCGTCATAATTTTTTAAAAATTACAATGTACTTTACGATAAGCCCCTCCCCCCGAAAAAAAAGAACTCAGGCGAACGTCCTACTTCATAATCTACCCCTGAATATCAGTATTCAGCAGACTTATCCGCTCGGTCATCGTTTACTATTCTTCTTTGAATCTTTGTCATAAGATTAGTTAGGTTTTATAGTAATTACAGAAGCCGTCCTATCATAGAATTGGAATTGTTTTCATAAAATTCCTTTCTTAGTTTTGAGAAATATTTATAACTGGAGATACAGGTCTAAAATTAGTAGTTAAGGAAATAAAAGTTAAAACCTGTATGCACCATTTCAAGAACCATGCGTTTTACCTTTGGCATACGAATACAGTGAAACGCGATAACGCTTAAGACTAAATATTGGTTAACACGAAATAATACAATTGTCCCGACAAACTACTATATATTTTCATGCGTTTTGTTTCTCTTAATACGAAATGAAAATCGTTTAACACGAAAAGATACCCTTTTGGGAATGAACAAAATACGGAAAACACCGGCCTCACAGGCGAGATTTAAGCGGGGTGTGAAATGAAAGAGAATTAGTTTCACATCTTAACGTGATAATATATATCACACGTGATAATATATATTGTGATAATATATATTTTTATATATATTATTACGTACTAGCCTTGGGGCGTATTTAATAAAATACATGCATTAACACGAACAAATATTTCAGTCCCCTCAGTTTCGTGTTAAAGGATTTTCACTGTATTTAGGCATATATGAAACGCATGGTACTTGAATGGTTTGCTTCCCCTTCCTCGACCCCAAAGGACCTTGCACTTTCTCCTGAAGAAGTGTCTGGTCATTTAGTCGTCTTGTCACCGAAAGCATTATTCAAGGTGCATCACAACGGGAAAAACGATATTTCGCTCGACATAGGAAGAAATGATATAATCAAACAACCAAACCTTCAACAAAATTTGAACTCTCACATTGGAATTCCAACTAGCAATCAGCCTTCGCTAGCCACTTATTTATTCTAATATCGAATTTTGACCGCGGTAATGAAGAGCCATTTTTCTCGAAACGGTAAGTAATATGTAGACCTAAATTACCAATTAACACGCAGGAAATACTGCTTAAACGCTCATACTGAACAAGAAAAAATCAGTTCTAAACTGGGGAAATAAATATTTTTTTTTTTTTTAGCCCAGGAGGCCTATTATTCTCTAAACGGGATTTTGCGTTTAATCACTATAAAAGTTTGGATCACTTTTCAAATTGTTGCCACCGAATATTATTGCATTGTATTATATTTAAAGAAATTAAATAATGAAGGATTTGCATAAAGGTATGCACGTTTTTCGCATGCACGTGAAAAAACAACGGTACCTAGAGCTATCCAATTTTGAATAGCGTATTCCTCCATCCGAATATGAACACCTGGAAGCCCCGAATTTGGAATTTCTTTTATTGTGTATTTCGTATTTTGTAAAACTTTAACAAATGTTTGATAAAAAAAAAAAATTAACGATTTCAAAGCGAACAGTGGCAACACTGTACAGAAACAAAATATTTTTATCTCCAGTGCGCGAGACCCCTTATCTGAAATTTTAAAGATATGCTGTTTTTAAATATTTTTCGTCCAAAAGAACATTAACCCGAATGCTCTCGAAATGTGCATGTGTGTGTAAATGATAAAAACGCTCCTTGAGGCGTAATATGAAATCTTAAATTCATATTTTTTTTAATTCATAAAATGTCGGAAACTAAATTTCTGGAAGCTCTAAAGCAATGATGAAAATAATCTTAATTTATTACTTTAATCAGACCTTAGGAACTATTCTGAATGATTTTTGTACTGATAGAAAATATCGTTTGCCGGTACTGTATATTTCGTCTTCTAAAATGCCACAGAAAAGCTGGGGAGGGGGGGGGACTTTATTCTGCTGCTTTTACTTTCCCACAATTCCCTAGCTTTAAAAAATAAAGCTGTAATATCATTACATTTTTTTAATACCACAACAGCGTGTCTGCTTATTTGCTTGCTGTAAATCTCTTAAGCCCCAACCACAACCATTACGCCTTTTTTTAATCTCCTTCTTTTCGAAACCTGTCCTGTGGAACAAACCCAAACTTCATATAAGTTCATTTCCATGCAAATAAAATGCGAAATTTTGACGTCGGTATAATGTTATTCAAATTGAAAGAAACGACTCACTTCTTAAAATATCGTTAAGACCGAGAGATTATTTTTTTTATTATTATTCTTTTCTAAACTTCGAATCATAAATATTAAAAAAACAGAGAAGGAAAGAAAAACGAACCGGTGGAAACTGTTTTATGCAAATAAGGTATTTCATATATGCAACCGGCGTTTAAAATTCCAGCCTGAAGTCATGAGTTAATGAACATAGTTAAAAAAAAAAAATCCAATCAAAATTCCAAAAGTTGGAGAATAATTATACATTTTTCCAGTATTAAAAGTGGTTTTATGTCTTCATTCCTACGGAATGAAATGTCTTTCTTTTATTGCTGTTTCATTTTCGTTTTTATCATATTTAGTTCATTATATTTTTTAAAACTTTCTTATTATTGTGTTTTTCATCATAGGTCGCATACAGCCTCCAGCGACGATTCCAAATTTCCCACCCGTTTTTCCGCATTTTCCCGCCCTTGGTGGAACGTGAGTAGTTCTTTATTTTTATGTAACTTTTTTTGATTCTAAAATTCTTTCGTTCATTTTATGTTAGCTGATGTTTTAATGAATCACCTTGGTAAAGAATTCAGCTGTCATTCAAATCGCATAGAGCACATGGATTTAATGAAATTTGCTTTAAAGAATTGTATTTACTTAGTATAATCGAACTTAATATAAAGAAATATTTAAATATAAAGGTATCTGCGGAAATTTTGAAGGGAAATGTCATTTTTATTTTAATTTGTTCATATTACCATTCAAGTTACATAGCTGTAGCTTATATTCAAGTTACATACAATGTAGCTTGAAAGATGTAATGAGTAGTAGGTATAAAGAGAAAAGAATTTTGCTGAAGACTTAGTATTTGTTGAGTTCGATTGCTAATAAACACTTCAAATTCTTTCACAGTTTACCAAATTATTCAGTATAATGAAGTCTTCAGAGTAACTGCGCGCAATAGCACTTTTCCCAAATGTCAGCTTGGTTTCCCCCCTTCGGGCATAAAGACTTAGCGGGTGCAAAACAAGACATCTGTCTATTCTGACTGTCTGTCTGTCTTCTCGACTGCTGATATCCGAGATTTTGGAAGTACCGTATTTATTCACTTGTTTATCTCTACGCGTTATATATTATCACGTACTAGTTTTTCAATATAGTGTGATTTAAAAACTTCTGATTTGTGGTAACAATGTAAAAACTATGCACAAATAAGAAAGTATTTTTATGTTAGTAAAAAGAATATCATAGAAATTGTTAAGTCCTTTGAAATACATAATACTATTATATAAGATCGATATTTACTATCCTTGATGTTTGTGAACTTAATATCAGAGATGGCTATCGAGGAACTTCCAATAAACTAGTCCGATTTATAAAAAACTTGAATATTTAATGAAAACACGAATAGTGTTTATATTACATACACTATGGAACTTATATACACAATGAAATAATTACATTCGTAGATTTAAATAGATGGATATTATTTGCAAATGTATATAAGTTTGTATCTTAGAACGTCGCGTTATGGAAGCGTCTTTCATCTTAATGGCAGAATCGTCTGTCTTCTATCACCAGGCAAAAAAAAAAAAAAAAAAAAAAAAGAGAGAGAGAGATCTTTCACACAGCTTGCAGTGCCATCTGATTGTTGTGGACGATGCATTCCACACTTTTAATTTGTCTTTCTATGCGCTTATTAATGTGCTATGTTTATCATTTAAGCCATCTCTTCAGAAATACTATATACCGCGTATTTTTTCCGTCCTGGTTTCCAGAGCGGTAAAATTCCAAAAGTGCGAAAATACTCCGTAAATGCAGTACGTAGTTTCAAGCTTTATATCTACAAGCCACTGCACTATGCAGAATGATTTATTTAAGAAAACAATATAAGAAATTCTTTTATTAACTGTAGGTTTAGAATTACGAATTATAATGGCATATATGATATAGCCATTCTAAAGTATACTTAAATTTCACTTTTAAAAAATGATTTGGTACTACAGAATTTATTTAAAGAACAAGAAGTTCATTTTGAGTTTACCATAATGAGAATAATTTATACATCATATTATGAGTGACGAGTATGCGTATTATGAGTATCTTTGTATTTCTTATAATTTGCTTGCCACCATTTGCAAGTTATAGGAAATTTCAGATGTTATCAATATTATATATCAATTAACCAAATCAGTGCTATTATATATCCATTTAATCAGTTCGGGCCTTGGAAGATTTCGTAAATCATCATAACTTAAATAAATGACTTCAGGTGGCTTTGAGATTCTTTATAGCTTAATGGAATTAGTGTTAAGAAGTCAGTTTAAGGTGTCAAAAAGACGTCTTTAAAAGTTTAAAGTCGAAGAAAATAATATAATTACTTGAAAATTTCCTCAGCATCCAATAAAAAATATAAATTTACATTTATTTTATATTATTTATAATTATTTATTACATTTATTATAATATAAAGCAGAAGAAAATGCATTACTTTGTTGCTTTTGTATTGCTGTAGTTGAATTAATTATCAAATTTAGCCGTATTAGCTCTGCTTTATTTTACTTTCCATTTACTGTAGAAAATTCAAAGACCTTAAGTTACTTGCATACATGCGGTCTAAAACCGAAAAAATAGGAAATGTAATAGAATTTTCAGTCACCTTAAGGTAGTAAGTAGTAAGCCATGAAGAAAATAACTCAATATAAGATGATTAAAAGCCATAATAAGATAATAAATAAAATACATGCATGTGGTCTAAAACCATAAATAAATAAATAAATAAATAAATAAATATTACGGAATCTTCAGTCACCTTAAGTTAAGCCATAAAGAAATTAGCTAATGAGATGATTAAACTTAGATGATATTTTAAAATAGTAGAAAACCATGAAGAAAGTACTATTATATAAGCGATGAACTTAATATGAAGAATAATTGATGAGATGATAAGATAATTAAACCTAAAAAAAAAAAAAGAGATTGAGGGGAAGAGAAGAAAAGGCCCATTGTTGGAAATGATGGCGTTATTATAGATATGGGTTATTCACTAGTCTTCAATCCAATAAAGACTAATTAAAAAACAATGACTTCCCCCCTCTCGGTATGTTACTTATCTAGTTCATCTCTGTCATAGGACTATTTTTAATATTTGGAGCATTATTGTCAATACTAACGCAACGGAAATAACTTTAATATGTCACTGAAAATTCCTACCAAGGTGTTTTTTAACATGATTTGAAAAGTATAATAGATCTTTCCGCTAATTTCAGCTTAAAATAAAAAAGAATGATAAATAGTTTTTGACTTATCTAATGGACTCGCGAAATGCACCCTGCATTAAAAAACAGAAAATAAGAACTGCATTTTTTACACCGTTTATAAAAGAAATCACATGCTCAAAAACCTGGGAAATGGAAATCTGTTTTTTCGTTTTGATATTATTTCTGAAGCCGTCATCTAATTTTACTTATTTTTTATATTCTTTAAGCTATGAAAACACACTTTCTGGCAAAAATAGCTGGCTGTTTTCTGTCAAATTGAAATTAAACTTGTAAATCTACACATATTAATAAAAAAATTTTTTTTTTTTAATTCTTATTTGCAACTTGAATTTAAGAGCTGAAAATCTATACATTTATTTCTCTTTTTCGTTGAAAGCTATTTTATGAGATTTAACGCTTTTGATGTTTGCATATATTTATAAATCCATGTATACAGTATCTCTCTGGGGTACTATTGACAACATTTCTGAATCTGCACAATAATTTGCGTTTCATTTATGAATAATTCATGTAAAGAAGCGATCGTTTGTCAGGGATAAAAATACGAATGACAGGGAAAAAAATCCCTCTCCCGCAGGGTGCTTTTCTCATCATCGACAAAAGTATCACGGTGCAAAAATAAATTAATTCTCTTTATTTGCTTTTCCCGACCCCCGCTCTTCCGAAGGAATGACTTTATGCATCTCTCGATTGCCGATTTTGTTTGTCGTCTATGCAAAGGAAGATATCAAATGGTGGTTCCGTCTTATTAAACGGCCATAGTTAATGTCCCAGTGGATGCATTATAACTCGCTTTTCCGTTGTTTTAAGCCCGACAGGGACCATCCACAAAATGCCTCCGTTTTATTCGTATTTCATTTTTGTAACTTTAAGAATATTACAGGATAATGCGAGACGATTTGTTTTATCATATATCGAAAGCGAAGGCTAAGGTTTATTTTCTTTTGAACAAGAACTTTTGAACTTTTGTTTGTTTATTTTTTGTTTGGAATATCCATTTATGATCCTTAATTAATCCATTTCCATTGATCCTTAACCCATTTCTGAATTCATCCTTAAACTATAAAGAGAAAACCAAAACAAGTCTTTACATAGAAGTGTTTTTTTACTGAAAAATGCTCGGTAAGATAATCCTTAACACGAGAATTTCCGCAGAAACTACTTCGCGTTCTCATAGTTAATATAACAATTTTTCTCATTTTTAGTTCCTGGAAGGTTTATATTCACTATTTAAATGCTTAAGAAATTTGACCAGTGAAAGATATAATGATATTTAAATTAATGTAAATATAACTACTAAGAATGTGAAATACGCGTTATAAGCGAAAATAGCTAACATGAGAGTTTGTAAGCTACCTAATTGTTGTGTCTAATTTCTAGAAAGTTTTCATTATGTTTTTTACTAGTCAAACGAGCAATTATTGCAATATAATATAGTAATTATTTTAATGATATATTTGCTATGTTTATTGATAATAATGTATAAGTAAAGATACGAAAATATATGGTATATATTTAGACGGAAGTATAGTTTTTCCTTTAGAAGAAAAAAATCACAATATGTTTTGCTCCTGATATATATAAAATATATGATATATATTTAGACGGAAAAGTATGTTTTTCCTTTAGAAGAAAAAAATCACAATATGTTTTGCTCCTGATATATATAAAATATATGATATATATAAAAATATGATATATATTTAGACGGAAGTATAGTTTTTCCTTTAGAAGAAAAAAATCACAATATGTTTTGCTCCTGATATATATATAAAATATATGGTATATATTTAGACGAAAGTATAGTTTTTCCTTTAGAAGAAAAAAATCACAATATGTTTTGCTCCTGAAGACTTTTGTACTTGTTACTGATATTTGCTTTCCTTTTATTTAAAGTAACGGATAGAAATTTGAAGAGTATTTGGATAATTAATTGAAAAGATTGTGATATAGAATAATTTTAAATGCAGGCTCTGGCTTAAAGTTACATTAGATAAGTACTAATCTTAAAGCTGCCGCCCAACCGATAATAGTAGGTAGAGTCGCTGACTGCTGTGCCGAAGGGCCCGGCTTGAATCCCGGAGAAGGCATGGACGTTTGTAAATAGGCATGAGGCCCTCTAAATATGCGGCGAGCCGGAAGGTCCTCTCGAGAGGTTGTTGGTAATGGAAGAGGGATAGGAGACCCTTAGACTAGTCCACTCCGTTA